TCGACCAGGAGGAGGCAACCCTGGAGATTAATGGCCATCAACTTGAAGAAGTAGACAGCTTTAAATAACTCGGGGCGAGTACCGAATGGGCAGAGCAAGAACGACATTGTCTCCCGTTTCGATGCTGCTCGTAGGGTTTTCTCAATCCTTCGAAAGCGTCTATGGGTCTGACGTGACATCTCCATCACCATGAAGATTCGATTATACCATGCATCCATCCGATTAGTCCTCCTCTATGGATGTGAAATACTGGGCTGTGCGCGCTGAAGATGAGCGAAGACTGAAGGTCTTTGACCACCGGTGCCTGAGGACGATCCTGCGAGCTAAGTATAGCGACTTCATCTCAAATGAGAAAGTCCGCATCCGTTGCGATTGTATCGCGAGGATATCTCAGGCCCTTCAAGAAATGCCAATCGTCACACATGGAGAGGTACCGTTCGTGACATCACTGAGGCCGGCTAGATCAGGCATGATCACAGCCGTAACAAGTAAAAATAAGTGGCGACAACAAGCACGGCGACTTGTGCATGAATAAAATCAGAGTATCTAAGTTCTGTAAATATTCCCATGGTTAATATTAAAAGTCAGTTAATGGCAAAAAATTGTTTTCAGCAACTCGTCATCAGGCCAAACGTTTGACTTTTAATATTAACCATGGGAATATTTACGGAACTTAGACAATCCAAAGATCCCGTGATGTTAAGGAACTCAATCGATTTCTAAAGTTTGACACCAGGCTTGCTGAGGCAAACGTAACAGCCAAATTCCTATCAGAATGTATAGACCAAGGTGAACATCCAAAACAGCACTGGATAATTGTTATGTGCAGCGTTCACTTCCCTTGCAAACGTTTGGCCTGATGACCAGTTGCTGAAAACAATTGTTTGCCATAACCTGACTTTTAAAATCAGAGTGATAGTAGACTTGAGCTGCACCTACCACAGCCTCTTCTCCTCCGCCCCCCACCTGGGCCCAATGGAAGGACCCAACCAAGAAGATCGGAGACAGAGGAGGGGCGCAGGTAGCTGGCGCGGCCGAAACCAATCCAAGTGTGTCGGCACGCCTGGCTTAGATCCCTCAGGGTGTGTTGAGAATGCACCCATTCCCATTATTACTCATACCACAGAAAGGCCGCGAGTCTAACTTACAGCATTGTCATGAGAGCGCGACGTGACTATCGATTAGCCCATTGACTCAGCCATGTCCCTCGCGTTCCCACTTAAGTACATGCAGCCTTTGTGTGAAAATGACTTGCTGTCAAGTGTTTGGTCTGAGTAAACGCACTCTCTGTCTCTGGCCGACTGGTCTTTTCCCTGTCTCTCTTACGGGCTCTTGGGAACCGTTTGTGTTAATTTAAAGTACCAGGCGCGGATCGTGACAATTGGCAACGCAGGGTGAGAGTGCCATATAGGCCACATCAAGATGGAGACCCTGATAAAGACATATACGGTAACCTTTCAAATAAAGCATGTTTCAATCAGCTCACCTGTATTTCAGAAGTTTGACAATAAGGTAGTTTCCTCTGTTGGATTCAGGGCCCCTTGAATGAGAGAAAAAAAAGGTAAAAATAAAAAACGATGTAGCAATTAATTTTGGCTACACCGTGGAAACTGATTGACCCGAGAAAGCAGTGAGGGAGAGCCGAAGCTTATCCGAAATAAAAAAAACAGACAATAAGTAACAAATGGGAGGCAGGTATCCCAAGCGCTAATTGGCAGCTGCAATTTGCGTAACTCTATCACTCTATCGAAAATTTACTGAACAAAGTTTCCTCACTTTCCCAAAAAACACCTTTCCTTGAAACAATAAGTAAAACTTAACGAAATCGTAAATGGCACGCTATATGATTTTAAAATCGGTACGGGAATAAATTGCCGTCCAGTTTGAAAAACGCAAGCTAATACGACCGACGGTACAGCCCACCGAGGACGGATATAACCCCTACAACAACGTGAAATTAACTAACTGCCTTAAATGACGGAGGAATAATGCGATTATTTCTGCATAGTAGAGGGGACAACATTATTCGGTTTGAAAAATAAGACTGTCAAACTGAATATTTACACTTTATACAATTAAAAAAAAAACTTCCAAGAAAACTCTAAACTAAGCGGCTCAGACAAGTACGGTCACGGCGTTTAGATCGAAAACAGGTAGAAAAAGAAGAAAACTAGGCATTAAAGGACGCTTTTTGAAATTATAATGGAGTCTGACGTATCAGGTACTAGTAAAAAGATTGCTAAAAATTTCTTTGGCATAATAATAATAGCCGTCGGTCGTTGTCTACAATAGCCCAACTTAGGCATGTTGGTTCAGATTTGAGTCTGAAAGATTTTCTAAACTTATGCGGCAGGCAAAAGTCTGCAAGGGACAGAAATGCAACTCTAAATCACATTAAGGATATCACGGAAGCACAAACAGTCAACAACGCCCAAATACTATGGGAAACGACCAAAAGAGGAAAACATCCCCCGGGTGAGCGGTGCACTAGACCACAGCTCAGGGGATGTGATAGGGCGAGGCTAGAACGAAAAGCTCTTCTAATTACTTCCTCAGTTTCGGCAGGCAATTAGTACCCTTCAACGGCCTGATATGCCATCTCCAAAAATGCCCATCAAGCCGACTCCTGTGATTGGATAGACTCACGGTAGAGATGACAGCAACACAAAAGAAACACTGCTCTCATGAGAAAGACGGTTTCGCAACTAAAACACTACCAAGATAAGCGTGAAAAAAGATTACGGGCTAGTGTCCAAAAGGAAATTTTGCGTGATTCCCCTAAGCTAAGAATGGCAAGACACGCTACCAAGAGCACAAGAAGGCATTAAGAAAGCACGGAGCCTGGTCGCTTGCCTCCTTCGTTCAGAGCGCTGAGTAAAAAACACAATGAAACTGAGTTTCTGCTTTAGGGACAAAAGCGTAATTACTGATAAGTAACAAGTAGCATATATTTAACCAATAATGCGAAAAAGGCAGACAGGTGAATGACTTACGTGGTGGTTATTACTTCATCGTGGCTTCGCCGAAGAATGAGAATAGGACCCGGATACCTAAAATGCAAAGAAAAAAAGGCATCAGCAGGCAAAATGATTCCTGATATAAAATGAAAGACGATAAAAAGAGAAACATACTGGGCAATCTGAGCAGCGACGTTTAAATCAAAATAATTGTGGACGAGGCCGACCGTAATAGATTCTAAAAGAAGGATAAAATGGTGACATGGAGATTCAGAAAAACAAAAAAACAAGGCAAGCCTTGATGAGTTAAAAATCGACCGTTCGCAGGCTGACGATAAATTGTTTGGTTCCTGAACCCGCTTTTCGGTTCCACAATCCACACGCAGAACAGGTGACAACGATGGCCAAGCACCACCTCGAGATCAGAATCACTTTATTGCCTGCACCGAAACACCCTACACCACAAGGAAACCACAGACACTGTCTCAAATAGAGCAGAATGACTAAGCCTCGACTGCAGACGCCTAACCAGTCAAAAGTGATCACGCTAGTGTCCCTTGATTTTTCCCAAAAACACTTCCAGGTAGTCGGACATTTTTCAGTAGGTTCCTTAGGACTTTGTAAAACTACAGCAGGAAAGCGAGAAAAGGAGGGTAAGGATTCCTTGTGGGGTCTTCGAAAGGACCTTATGTATCATAACCACCTACTTACAAATGTTAAGTGGGTTGAATTACCCACAATCTTCCCGTTTTCTGAGCGCCGGCCGTCGACCCAGTAGGGATTGGATGACGGCATTGACCAATTGAGGGGTCCTCCGAAGGCTACCGCATACAATAGCCGCTTAACACTTTGACTGCGACTCTCAAAATAATCTGTATACCCCTGGAGCGGCGTTTTCAAACCTGCATTACTTTAGGCCTAGACGTGTACCATATTTGGCGCACGTCGCAGTTTCGGACATCATTGCATGTACCACATATGGCGCACGTCGCAGTCAAAGTGTTAAGTCGGTATATTTAGCAAAAATGGCCTTTCAAATTAACTACGGGAATAATCGCCTACTTACAATTTTTTAGTAGGGTGAATTCGAC